CCTCCTCCTCCTCCTCCTCCTCTTCTTCTTCTTCTTCTTCTTCTTCTTCTTCTTCTTCTTCTTCTTCTTCTTCTTCTTCTTCTTCTTCTTCTTCTTCATGCATACGTCTTTAAGAGAAAGTCAGCACACATTCTCTTTACTAATGAAACTTGGGAGCAGCGCTTAGATAAGTGTGGGGTTTCAGTGACACGCTGAGTTGTACATGCCTTGAACCATAATTAACACATGTACAAAGAGAAATCAAGTATGCGCAGTACACAGACTGTACATGTGTTCCCTGTAACTTGTGGAAAGGGCTCATAGCAACAGCCTGCGGGATCTGTTCAGAACCCTCGGTCTTTGTATTTGTAGCTCAAGGAGCTAAATTCTCCCAGGTGAAGAAGAAGAGATTGGATTTATATCCCGCTCTTTACTCGGAGTCTCAGAGCGGCTTACAGCCTCCTTTCCCTCCCTCTCCCCACAACAGAGACCCTGTAAGTTAGGTGGGGCTGAGAGAGCTGTTGTGAGAACTGCTCTTGAGAGAACTTGTGACTGTCCCAAGGTCCTCCCAGCTGGCTACATGTGGAGGAGTGGGGAATCAAACCCGCTTCCCCAGATTAGAGCCCTGCTGCTCTTAACCACTACACCAAACCGGTGCAGGATCTGACAATGATTCGGACCAGTATGTTCCTGATTGTGGCACGGTTTGCCTTGGCAGCCAAGAAAACACAGGCTTGACTTTTCGAACCTGCGGGCACCTTTGGAATTCTGACACAGGATGGATGGACGCAGTTGTAAACGGCTGCTGCAGGAGGTGGAGCCAAACGCAAAATGTCAGGGATTGAGGTTATAGATAAGTGACAGGAACTTTTCAACAATTCAAGTGGAAGCTCTGTTTAACCGGGCACCTTTTAATCTGCGTAGCCAATCAGAATCCCTCTTGGTTGGACTAGATGGTCTGTCAGGCCCCTTCGAACTCTATGATTCTGGTCAGAAGCTCCCGCTAGCCCCGCCCACTTTCTACAAGCACCTGGCTTGTAGATGTTTGTGGGCAACATGGTGCCCGCGGGCACCACGTTGGGGACCTCTAGGCCAGAGCTGTGCTTAAAGGCTGGCACCCATTATTTGTACATGGGGAAGGTGCTGATGTGTTTTCATGTGCTTTAGATTTTATGTTACTCTTTTCGCTGTAGCTTGTCTACATTCCCTTCTGTGCATCCTAACTGCAATGGCCTTTGACCCCACACAGTAATTGCAACCTATCTTTCTACTGACCTAAGTTAAAGTATTGATAGAGTCACCGAGTCATTCATTGCGTCATTCTTTATTATTTACTTGCATTATTTCTAGCAGGGGTCATTTCCTGCGGGAGCACACAGGAGCAGAGCTCCGGCAGTAAGGAGCCCAGGGGGTGGGCACATGCAACAAACCCCACCCCCCTGCTCCCAGCAGCCCTCAGTCGGGCCATGGGGAGCAAGAAGCAGCCAGATAAGTTGCCAGAGGCCCCCCCCCGCCCACCTTCAGGTACAAGCTCTCCCTCCTCTGTGAAGGCAGATCTGCATGTTCCTCCCCACCCCCAACTAGCAATCCAAAACAGTCCAGTGACACCTTTAAGACCAAGTTTTATTCAGGTACAAGCTCTCCCTCCTCTGTGAGGGCAGATCTGCACATCCCCCCGTCACCAATAGCTAACAATCCAAAACAGTCCAGTGGAGCCTGAGCGGTGGGTGTTGCCTTCTGACACACTTCCGGTGATGTCAGGGGGAGTGGCCTATGCAAATAAGTTATGCTAATGAGTTATGCTAATGAGCTCCTGCACCTCTTTTTCTACGAAATGACCCCTGATTTCTAGTCTGTGTTCCTCACAGAGAATGAGTCAATACGATCAACAAAATGAGACATTCCACAGCCAGCGCATTAGGATTTTAGACGGCTGGAGCCAACTGGAAAGAACCAAAGCACAGCAGAAGTATGAACAGGACACACTGAGCGGTACAAAAATAAGTAATAGGGTCTATACACAGCAGTGTGGACTGCAATCCCTAACCATTTATCCAGGTAAG